TTCTCTCTTTCCCTTTAATTTTTTTTTAATTTTATATTATATTATATTATATTATTATTATTATTATTATTATTATTATTTTTCTGCGATTCCTAAATACGTATATTTATATTTCTCTTGGAATAATAAATGTTAAACGCATGAGGGGATAAAAATGCTACTACACAACATGCGATATAATAATAGTATCATTATACCTCGATAATTAGTAGCTATAAATAGTTTTCAATAATTATTTGTCCAAACACTGAATATTTTACAACAGCCATCGATATCTCAACTATATAGTCCATAACTCTATTTAAACAGTTAGCAACTTTTACAGTTTCAATTCTTCTTTTCTTTTTTTTCTTTCTTCTCTTTGTTTAATTTTTAATAGTTATGCGTAGCATGTCCAATCGTATCAATAATAGGGGTATATCATAAATTTTGTAATTTTCCTAAAAAATATTCTCTAAAAAATATGTCGACCTAAAGATTATTATGACTGATAATCACAGACAATGGTTTTTTTTTTCTCTTCAATTTTCTTTTCAAGTTCCACCCTTTCGTTCATCAGTTCGCCCTTATAATTATTCTGCTTTCTTCCTCTCTCTCTCTCTCCTTGTTATTTACTCACTCTCACTCTCTCTCTCTCACTCTCTTTTAAACAACTACGACGTTCAAATTTCTAAATTTTCGTTAAAACGTTAGATAATAATTAATATAATATTTTTTTTCTTTTTTCATTTTCTTTTATACATGTTTTAAGAAGCGTTTTATATTTCGATTTGAATTCCTTAGTCTCTTATTAAATACTCCTCAAAGGTTTTTCTTTTTTTTTCTTTTTTTTTCTTTTTTTTTTTTTTTAATACTTTAACAGAAAATATGCTAAGAGAGGAAAAGCTTCTCATATTTTGTAAAAAGAGATAGCTTCCGATGTGACTACGAATTAGTTTGAAGAAGGAAACTAATGGAAATGAAAAGGAAAAGGAAAAGGAAAAGGAAAAGGAAAAGGAAAAGGAAATGTGAAAAAAAAAACAAAACAAGAAACAAAAATCGAAGAAACAAAATAGAGAAATAAATAAATGTATATATAAAAGAAAAGAAAAGGAAAGAAAAGAAAAGAAAAGAAAAAAAAAAGAACATTGGATTAACTCTTTGGGGCAGGGTAGGATGAAAAGTGTCCCACCTTTTTGATACACCGTAATGGTGTATATTATTTGAAATATTATTGCAATAGCTACACATGCTCATAACTTTATATTTCGTCTTATTTACGCAAAACAATTGGCTATTAACTCTTTGTTTTTTTTTATGTTTTTACATTATTACATTATGTAATACCTTTATTAATAAAAATATACCAATTTAGTTTCATTTAAAACGTAATCAAATTTCTACGCAACATTTTTGGGGCTATTTTATTATCTGAAATTGTATGCCGCAAAGAGTTAAAAAGTCGGCAACGTTGAGTAATAATAAAAATTCAATAATAATCTTACAATGACAATTTTAGCAATAATATCTTGCATATATCTCTCTCTCTCTCTCTCTCTCTCTCTCTCCAAATACAATTCGTATTCAAGTTATGTTATATGTTATATTTCAAATTTGCCGGCCGCTCGCTCGCTCGCTCGGATAGGTATAAAAAGGGGGTGATGGCGGGGTGGGGGGTGGAAAGAAAGATATTGAATAAAATAAAAAAAATAAAACGACAATGTGTGTGCCTAAGGATCGATCGGTGACTCGGTGATGTATTATGCTTTTTATCCATAGAATTATAATAATATTGTAATGGTAATTAATTAATTAATTAATTAATATTAATGATAATAACAAGAGCGTAAAGTATAATACTAGAAAAAGAAGCACGTCTATACTCTTCTGCGTTGTGTTTTGTTGTTAACAGATTAGAAAATACATACATAGGAGCGCAGTTGACAAAATTACAGATTATGTGGTATTGTGTTTATGTGTATGTGTAGGTGTATGGATACGTGTATGATAAACAAAGAAAAGAAAAGGTAAATCAGAGATATTCATATGTAAATAAATTGAATTTACCGAGGGGAGGTAAAGGAAAATAATGATCTTCTTCTTCTTTTTATTCTTCTTCTACTACCTCTTCTTTCTTTTTTCTTTATCATATTTTAAAGAGACGCACAACCGTTAAAACTACTTTGTTATTTCTTTTTTTTTTTTTTTTTTTTTTATCTTCCATTTCCTTTGCGGAGCATATTATATATCTTACGAAATATTGTAAATAAAAAAATAATTGGAAAATACAGCATGTTTCGTACATGACTATATATCTATGAGTAGCCATATAACCAGACAGTACATAGTCCATACTTTTTGTTTGTTTGTTCATTTTTTTGTCCTTTTTTATGTTTCTTTTTTCTTTTTTTTTTTTTCTTTAATTTTATAACGATCACCGTGGGTAGAGCGACGCACAAATGGGGGATGGTGGAATTCTGAAGTACGCCTTAATTTGTTCTTTTCTTATAAATTCTCTGCGCTCTCTCGTACTTCAAAATACACCCCCTCCCCCGCGTATATTATTATTATTATTATTATTAATAATTTTGGTTACGACTTTTTTTAAGTAACGATTTTAATGAGGCTTTACTCGAACGAGAAACGCATCTCTTCCTTGTCTCTTGTAAAATGATTGATCCGCAAATCCGTTGAATGCTAGGTTCCTAAGTCCATCATGTGCACCGTTTCGAAAATTTCACGACATTCGTTTGAATTTTTGTGTGTCTGTGTTTTTTTTTTTTTTTTTTTTTTTTATTTTCCTTATTGTTACCTTTTCGTTTTGTCATTTAATATCACTCCCTCCCCCCTTAGAACCACTCCAGCGCGTAATCAATAAATATCAATAAAATATCTAACATTGCTATTATATTTTCAAGTAATGTACCTCCTTATGGCGTATTACCTTTTCTTTACAGATTAAAATTAATTATCATTATATTAACAATATTCATCATCTCCCAATAATAATTATTTTAATTATCGGTAATTACAATATTTCTCTTTTTTTTTTCTTTTTTTTTTTTTCCTTGATAAAAAGAAGAAAAAACAAACAAAAGAAAAACGAAAAGAAAAATGCAGAATATCGAAAATAACGAGATAAAATTAAAAAGGGGGGAAAAAAATAAAAATAAAAAAACAAACAATGATAAAAACAAAAAAAAAAGAAAAGGAAAATTTACATGTATAAATTAAAAAATTATAAAAAAGAAATGGCAATTTCTCGTGACCAGAACTAGTTCCCATATTTTTACCTTGTTTTTATAAACTTTTTACAACTCAGCATACACATTTTGTACCAAACCAGGCCGATTAGAATGTTAACGCGGCTTTACATTATTCGTTCGATAGAAATAATGCTCCTGCCGTTTTTTTTTTTTTTTTTTTTTTTTTTTTATTTTTTTTTATTTATCCTTTATATTACTTCATTAAATAATTCGCGATCGGTATTCATCATATAACGCATTTCTTATTATTTATTATCAAACACTCTTCCACTTCGTCCTACTATATCTCTTACTCTAGGCCATTTTTTTCATTGAAAAAGTGCACTTAACGGTGTCCACGAGAGCACCAAATATAAGGGACTACCACACCTCGGCAGAAATTGATTGATCGCACACTAAAATACTTTCTTCTTTTACGCATTATAATGGATGCATCATTATAATATAATTATAATGCATTTGCGATTCTCAAAGCTTGAATCCGAGTAATTGGGACGTATCTAAATGTATCACCGGGTTAAAGCGTAGGTACGTTAAAGGTAAGGCAAAATTGCGTTTCGCGATATAAGAAGTGATTCTACGGAGTGTCCGTAAAAATATGAAATACGTTCCCCATGATAAAGGACACGCTACACGTTTAATATTTCTTCTTCTTTTTTTTTCTTTCTTTCTTTCTTTCTTTCTTCTTCCTTTCTTTCTTCATTTCTCTTTTTTCCCCACTATGGGAAAACATTGCAGAAATATTTCCTACATGTATTCTAGTAATATGCTTATTAATAAAGAACCACCGTGATCGTGTACATACATTACGAACATAATTATTATGTATGTATGATGTGTGTGTATATATATATATATATATATATATATATATATGTATACATGCGTGTATCAATATGTATGTAACGTGTGTATGTGGTGTGTGTCGGATAAGCTTTGATTAAGTGAATAAAATCACTTTGACATTAAAAATGACTATAGAATAATCTAGAAATATCATAATACTTCTATCAAGCATCTGTAAAATAAAGTTGCTTCTACCCCTGCTATAATTATCTTAGCTTTGCGTTCATTGATATATCACAAAATAAATCAATAGGATTTACAATATATATATATATATATATATGTATATCGTTGAAAAGGTGGAAGCACAACACATGTAGATGCGTTATTTTCAAACTCTTTGCGGAAAAGACATTAAAAAAATGATATTGCGCGTACAATAATAGTTTTTCGTTTTCTTACGATAAAAAAAAAAAAAGCAATTAAAACTGTAAATAGCTCGTTAAAAGAGATTCCCTTAAGGGTAAAAGGAGGAGGGGGTTGGGGGTGGGGTTGGGGGGTGTCTTTCTACGACAACTAGAAAGACTTAAAAGTATATCAATTATCAATGTCTGCCAAAGTAGGTACATCTCCAAAACAGTATACCGTGATAGGTGGTACTGTCTTTTCTTGCCATTCTGTTATCTCTCTCTCCTTAATAATTACGATCCTAATTTCATTTAAAACGGCTTATGCGATTCTTTTTTCTCTTTTTTCTTTTTTTTTTTTTTCTTTTTCTTACTTACACATTAAGATGATATCTACTCTACAATTACACATAATTTACAAGAGAATATTTGAAATCCGCGGCCCTACAACAGACACGGGAGGTCATAAAGTTAATCATACACTGTACACTAAATTGAAATTTACAAAAGGACAAAAGGAAAGATAGTTAAAAAGAAAAATTAAAAACAAAAAAAAAAAAAGCAAAGAGAAAACAAAGAAGAATAAGAAGAAATATATAAAAAGATAGAAGAAGAAAAATAATAATAGAAAAAACATCGCTGACGCTATTAGAAATATCCATTGAAATTTCAATTTGTTGAGATTATTTATCAGCTGTTTAAAACAGTCACTTAAAAATTCTTTGTTAAGTTACCCTCGATCATCCTCTTCTCGTAGTTACGTATAATACACAAATATATTAATCGCATTTCTTTCTTGATTCGTGAAACAAGTTTGAATTGTCATGTACGTAGTGCTGTTAAAAAATGTATGGTGCATCTCCTACAAACAGTACATCGATGATACACTATCTTTTTTTTGTTTAGCTTGGTCCAATTCGTTCTAAAGGAAAATCGAAAAATGTTATATATACTTGAATAATCGTTATAATCACATTGAGATATCTGTGTAATTAAAAGACACGTAAGACGATTAAAATGATGATGATTAAAAAGACTTACATTTAGTGTAAAGTGTACGACAACTTGTACACTTAAGCCTCAATAATAGACAAAGCCTAAATCGTGCAGAAAAGCACAGGCGTGAATAATATAACACTTTCAAGAGTCTCAAGTGTTTTCCAACACGCAAGACTCTTTAGGTATGAAAGCGGGACACGTTGAATCATTTATTGCTATAAGTATAGTCCTTAAATCAACTACCGAACGTAGTTGTCTAAAGTAACATTGTCGTAAACGCCATTTTTCACACTCTGTAGCTGGCCCTTTAAATCAATCTCATAGCTCATATCTATTTTCTCTTTGTAGTAATAAAAAGCTGCTATTTTTCAGAAAATAGTTTGACGTTCAAATGAATAACCACCTTCAATCAAATGAATTCTATATTCAAAGCGCGCGTAATTATAGCACATATTTCTCTCTTTCTTTCTCTTTTTGTCCTTATCTTTATCTTTATCTTAATCTTAATCTTTATCTCTCCCATCTTTCAATCTCTCTCTCTCTCTCTCTCTCTCTCTTTGTTTTGTTTTGTTTTTCTATCTCATGAGTGTTTGTTTGCGTAATTTTGATACACACACACAGTAGTCTCAGTTGAGATACTTGCGACACCTGCGAGAACCACAGGTACATGGTATCTTGATATCCTCAAATGGAAATTTGTAGTCGTACGTTAACTCTTCCCCTTGAACGATGCGTCGGAGTGCAAAAATTAAAATATGTTTTTTACCTAGGATGTCTACCACTCTTGAATAACAATTTGGCTGTAATATAAATTAATCAATGAAATTAAATCATGTATTCTTAGATTCATATACGTTTTGTTCATATGATTTGATTCGTAAGAATGAGATTAAAGTATATATTACCTCGCATGAGTGATTAATGAACCTTGCTGCATTTCCTTTCATTGTGGCATCCACAACTAGATGATCGTCGATTTTGAACATGTAACATCCGATATTTTTACTGTCATAGTATTTCTCTCGCTTGTCAGTCAACGATGCACGAATTACCTAAGCACACAAATCATTTTAATATTATATATTTATTAACAAGGAAAATCTGATATATTAAAAGTTATTTAAGGTATGCAAATGAATATAGCATTATACATCCTGCATTTATGTTAACAAAAAAAAAAAAAAAAAAAAAAAAAAAAAAAATCATTCATTTACCTCTCCTGCATACTCAATGACCATTTCTCCAGCCTCGATGTCTCTCAAACAGAAAAGACCTCTTCCGTGTATGTGAGAATGGTATACTCCAACAGATTCTTTAGATGTTTCTTTGAGTATCCTAAAGCGCATCGCCATTGGTAAATTTGTGCTCGTTACCCGTCTATAATATCAATCCAATTTGTTTTTTTTTTTGTATTTAAATATGCATGGAATTATAATGACGAATTTGTCATGCAAAATATATTTTAATAGTATTACTATACCTTGATTCTGCTTCCGAGATGGCAATCATTTTTGGTTGTTGCCTGTGCCTCGATGCCAACCAACTAAACATGTCATGCACTTTTCTACCCTTAAATGGTTCCGCGCGAGCTGCACCATTATCACATGCTGCTAAAAGATCATTATCCGTTTCGCTGGATATTGCTGGTTTCAAGTTATGAAATTTGGGTTTATATTTAGTGCATCTATTGACACCTGGTAACTGTTCGACTAGATATACTGTCGAATTATTTTCTAATCCAAGATTTTCAGAAAGAGGATTATGCGGTAAAGGAGGCAAATTATGAGCCTTTCGAGCATTTTGCACAGATTGGAAAACCATATCCCATACCTCGGACATCGAAGATGCAGTATGCGTAAATCCATCCTGAGATTTGATTTCGTACATCAGATTTGGCCCTTTAGAACAACTTTTCTGTGTTTGCGAATTATTCGGAGTTTCTTCTTTTTGAGGAAGTTGTTTCATCATCGATTTGCTGATTAATCTAGGCTTTTTCACAGCAACTGGAGGACTTTTCTTCAATACATTCACTTTGTTGTTATCTATACTTTGAACTTTGTCATCTATCTTATTAGTTTTCAACGTAAATGTTTTAATCGGTAAAAGTTGTAAGGATGTTATTTGTGGTACTTGCTTTGTCGGTAATATCTCTACTGATGTTACTTGTGGAGATTTTTTATTCTGCGTTATTGCTTTCATATTGTGCCTAATCTTGTAGGAACCATCTTGTAATTGCTTTTGCAATACGATCTTTAACGACGTACTATGTAATTTATCTTTATCGAGTTCCAATTTGAGATTATCTTTAACTTTGTCCACAGTTTCTGTGCTCAATTTCTGTGTTTCCGTTATTATACTGTTGTTAATTTCGTTTTCAGATGTTTTCATTGGAACGATACTTTCGATCATCTGTTTCTTAGATTCTGCATTAGTTAATTCAATAGGTGGCTTTATAATGGGTTTCCTTGGTTCTTCCATAACGATTTGATCTTTTTCTATAGGTTTGATAAGATCTTGTTTCGGTGTAACAACAGCTTGCATTGGCAGGACCCTATTCATGGGTCTGCTCGTTGGTACATTGCTCATAGACATTGTTATTTTATTTTGAAGATTACAACTAGTTACAACTGGATTACTACTCGTCGTGCTTACATTGATACCATTAGAATTTGATACATTACCGCTATAACTATTATGCACATTATTTACATCATGATTCAACTTATTTACAATTATATTCCTTTGTGTTATGCAATGATTAGGTAAGGGCAGGATTTTAGATGATATGCTAGCCTTTATCATACTGGTATTTTCTGATACATGTTTCGAATCAAAATATGGTCTGACACTGTTACTAATAATTTGTTCCGCGTCGAAAGATGATGCAGTCTCTTTTTGTTCAGTAATCTTCCATGATCCACAATTCAATTGTATGCCTGGATGTGATGAAGCGGGACTTGGACGTACAGCAACTCTTGGAATAGTTGGCATTGTCTGTTGTAAGGGTTTAGGAGGCGATGTTATTCTTGGTGTAATTGTAATAGGAGTTTCAGACGAACACACATCTGATATTTGAACTGGATCTGCGAGTGCTTCTACTACTGTCCTACAGGGTGACGGCGAGATAGAATTACATCCGATAGAAGCAAAATTTTGTTCAATAGAAGCAGGAATATTAATTTGTGGTGTTACAACAGTATCTAGTACTGGTGTATGCTGACTGACCACGACATAACCACCAGGTGGTACACCAGTTACCTGCGCCGATACGCTCGGTACATTTCCCATGGCTTGTACATTTGATGCATTTGGTAAACTAGGCATATTAGGTACAGTAGCTACGCTAGGTGGTGCGGCGGCAGGTGCACTCAGTACACTGGGTACACTAGGTATGCTAGCTACACTAGATACGCTAGGTATACTAGGTATACTAGGTACAGCAGCAGCAGCAGCAGCAGCAGCAGCAGCAGCAGGTACTGTAGGTACACTCGGCACAGTAGGCAATCCTGTTACATTGGGTACACCTGGTATGTTCGGTACTGCTTCCACTGCTGTTACAGTGGGTACTCCAGAAACAGATTGAACATCTACAATAGGTTCCATAAGTTTAGAAGCTTGAAAAACTTGCGTTGTTGTCTGATAACTGCTTGCTAAGACTTGAGGTACTGCTCCAGTCATGAATTGACTCGAGGACATTACTGTATTGCTCACTATTGTTTCTAAACCATAATACATGGGTTGATTAGAAACAAACATACTTCCTGTTGAATCTGTAAACATTTCTAATGTTGGAGTAGAACTCAATAATAACTGTTCGGATGATATTACACCGCATTGTATTGCACTTGGTTGCTGTTGTATAATAGTTCCCAAAACTGTTGGTTGGGTCTGTGCAATTTGTACACTTGGTAATATTGATATTCCTCCATTCTGCAACGCCAATAAATTATCGGATGGTGTTTGTATGTATGTACCAGGAACTAATTGATTAGTTGTTATAAATTGTGGTTTATATCCAGTTTCATGTTGACCACTGATTGCAGTTATATATTGTACATTTTGTCCAGTTTGCTGTTGTAGAGTTTCAACATATGCAGACATAATACTCGGCGAAGGAACTTGTTGCAAAATGACTGTTGGGCCATTAGGTCTTTGAGTTTGTTGCAACTGAATTACAGGAGTATTAGTAGTCTGCATTGGTTGTAGTCTAGTAGGTCCGTTATGAGACGACTGTACGGAATTTTTGATAACATGGGATTTGATGTTTTTTGCACGAGGTCTAGCAGCACGAGGTGATTTTGATTTTGTTACTCTTGATATTTGAATATTAGTCAACGATCCATCATTAGTTGTTGTTGCCGTTTGTACGCCAGTAGATGAAAAGCTTGGCGATACTTGCGGACTTGGAACGCTTTGAGAACTTGTACTATCTGGAGAACTTATTGGCATATTTACCAAAGTTTGTGTGATACAGGAATCATTGGAAATCGATGGTGGATCTGTTATTTCCGTTATCTGAACGGTACTTTCTTGAGGTAATACTGCGGCATTTGGTAATGTCGCTGTTGTTCTAGTGTATTGAGTCTGCACAATCATGTCATTAGAGGTTAATACTGTTTGATGAACAGTTTCTACGGTAGCGCGAGTGTGTAATTGTGGTGTAATAATTGCTTGAGCAATTGGTTCTATTTGAATTCCTGGATGGGGCGATGGTACAGAAGCTTCTATAGGCGACGTTGCTTGTATTTCAGTATATTCCGATGAAAGTGTATGTCCTTCTGACGGAGAAAGAGTTATAAATTGTGGAGATACTGATCCAATATTTGGAGAAAATCTGGAATCCGGAGACGCTAATTTATTATCCATTATTTCAGAATCACTATCGCTTGTAATCATAATATCACAGTTAATTAGATGTCTGTTATAACTATCTTGGGTTCTGTATGTGCAACGACATCTTTCACAAGTTACAGGTTTCTCAGTGGTGTGATCGATTGCTGGATTATAATTTGAAATGACATTTGTTATTTCATTCTCGGTATGTTTAGGTGATATACATTCATCGTCGCTGGAAACATCATCAGCACCATCTAATTGTGGAATTTGTAAATGTAATTTAAGATGATCTTTACTTTTGACAAAATTTGTCGCTTTATGCTGCGTAGATTTAGAAATATGAGAAAAGTGATCTTTTTCCTTTTCCTTTAGCATATTATCATTATGAGATGATAAATGTGACCTGAGAAGACCAACAATTCTTCGCGAATGTTGTACATTTGACGGATGTATAAGCAAATTGAAATCTTTTTCCTTGGATAAGATCCATTCGCTATCGTCACACGAAGATTCGTCGTTGATACCATCCAATTGAGGAATCGATAAATGTTCAGATCTTTCCAAAGATGTTTTATCTTCTATATTATATTCTGGAGAGCTACATTCGCTAGCGCTACTTGGATCAGCAGAACCATCTACCTGTAATATACGAGGTGGCTGTTGTCTCGTATGCCAAAAGAGTCTTTTGTGTTCTTTCCCATCTTCCCCCCTCGAAGGTAATACATGGCGATTGATGCCACTCGAATCCTCGATACAATATTTGATTTCTCGTACCGAATCAGAATGTAGAATATTAGGAGTATTTGCTCTACCTACACTACCTACAGTAACCATTATACTTTCAGGAATTCGCAATTCATGAATCATAGACGTATGTTCATTTTGTGCATCAAGTACCATTACGCTAGTTTCAGTAGACGACTTGCCTGCTGCGTTTCTAGGTAATTTTCTCCTTTTTATGCTAGGACCATAAGTATTATCCAATTTGCAACTCCAAGTAAGACTGCAAGATCTCTGATGATGCCTAGGGCCACCAACTATTAATGAATTATTTGATATTACTTCTGACTTGGAACGTTTTAATTCTCTACCACCACGTTTTTGACTTTTAGAATTAAATAAGTCATCCATAAAATCTTGAACAGAAGTCTTTGCTTCTAAATGTACCCACAGATCATTATGCGTTCCTAATTCCAATAAGGAGGGATCCATTTTGGAAATTTTATTTTCTACCGGTTTAGATGAATCAGCTACTTCTGAAGGTAGCATATCGTCTTTAAATAAATCGTTACTGAATGTGCCATCATTTTTCAAATCCATAGTTAAAAAATCCTCAATCGTCATTTTTGGAAAAATATCTTGCATGGAAATTCCATCCAACAAATCATGGGGTAAATCCTCAAAAATAGCTTCTTCTAATTCAGGAGGTAACAAATCTGTGTTATTTTGCTCAGCTAAATTTTCATCGACTTCTTTACAACATACGGTGTCCAATAATGAATCCAATGTTTGTTTTACAGCTAAATATTCAACTTTATGTTTATCTATTGACAGATCTTCCTTCCTTTGTTCTTTGGAATGATCAATGGTAATGTTATTTTCTAAATCAGCCGATACTTCTGGCACGAATACTTGCACGTACGTTCTAATATAATATCTTACAATTTTAAATGGATTTACAGTTGACCAGTATAACCTTGAACATTTATAATCGCAAGGTATTATTTTTTCAACTGTATCTGAAAATTCAGGTACAATTGTACCTAAACAATCAATTATTAATGAACCGATCATCACTTTAACTTTATTTGGTTCAACATATTTTTTCTTCTTACGATCGAGTTCCACGTATACTGGTCTTTTTAAATTAAAATCAGTTTCATTATGCAGCGGCTTATGCGTCGTCGAATTGTTTAAATGCAAAAAACAAAATACTGTTTTGTCGTCATTAAAAGCAAGACCTATGTTTCTTGCACAAGGATAATGGAAAGTGTTGTTACAATTTTTTGCGCAACATCCTATGCTCGCTCCTTTTTTACCACATTCATTGCAACGAATTAAACGTCCTCTTGAAATAGCACTGTGAACGTTTTGCAAGGAACCATCTATTTCTTCAAATACTTCGTTCGACCATAATGCACAATTTGCATGGACCCATTCATTTTGGCCACAATATAGAAGTCTGCCTTCCTTCGTTTCTTGACCATCACCTAATCCTTTACACAAACAACACAACCTGCTATCTTCTTGATGAGTGTTATATGAATTCAATGCTTTTGCTACAACAACTTTAGAGCAACCTTTTACTATTTCTTCCTTGTTTATCATCATATTCACCATAGAATCGTCCAATTTTGCTACCAACGAATCATTATTTTCATCAGCATCTAGAATTGGAGTGAGTATGCCGCCGCCGCCGCCGCCGCCGCCGCCGCCGCCGCCGCCGCCGCCAATCTTATGATCAGCTTTTGAATTTTTCGGTACAAACCATGGAAATATTTCTTGTAAAGTTTCGTGATATGCATCTATCAAATCTTTAATATCAGTACGGTTAATGACATGCTCCATGTCTGCGTGAAATTGGGTCAACGATTTATATTCGTTATTATTAACTTTTTGTTTTACAGTCATTAACGACGTGGCCGATGGTCTCACAATAATTTCTTGTTCCATACAATGACAGTCTGTAACTTCACTTAATTTCTCATTAGTGGATTCCTGATTACGAATTGGTGGATCTTTTTTATCAATTTCTGATGTATCTTTAGGGATACAATTCTTCACCCTCACAGTACATTCTTTCAAGTGAAACTTTTGTCGTAAACGACGCAAACCTTTTCTCGTAGATCCTTCCATTGGTTGTTGTTGTTGTTCTTCCAATTCAGATTTATTTGACAAATCAGATTTCAAACTGGAAACCGAACTATGTTCTGCACTCCCAGTTACGTCATCAGATTCATCCGATGTAGTAATATCTTTACTATTTGTACCATTTACTTCAGCAGCCTTTTCTTCGGGAAGATCTATTTTTTTAGTCGTTGAAATGGATTTACAAAGACATTCTTTTTTAGGACTCCACTTTAATGCGGCACAAGCCTTTCGATTCTTACTCAATGATTTAATTACGCCAATGAATCCAGCTTTGAGTTCTGCTTCAACTGCATTTTTCCAAACGGAGTTTGGATTGTCAGAACATTGCTGACAGGTAAACTCAATGGAATCTGGAAGATAACTAAGAATCTGATATTTTTCATCGGAGAGACCTTCGCAACGAGCGTGTACCCAGCAAGAACATTCACTGCATTCCATCATCTAAAAATAGTTTTAAATAGAAAGAAAGAAAGAAAGAAAGAAAGAAAGAAAGAAAAAAAAAACAAAGCTAACGATTCATTCATAATATATTATTATTATTTATTATAATACTTACTTTAGTATCCAAATCATTTTCATTGTAGCATTTTTGACATAATGGGCAATAGTTTCCTTGTTGTCTCAATTTAAAGCACATAGAACATAAGGGTAAATTGCCTACGTGAACGTTTACGCCTTCGCTACCACAACTTTTACACTTGATGCAACTTTGACACACATAAGGTCTATCAGGACTATAAAGTCTAGAACTGATGCCAGATTTTAAAAGACACGTGTGATGAAATGACTGACGACAACGAATACAAGATAATTTTGGACCAAATCTTAAATGGCAGGATTGACATATTGTACACCTTGGACAGCACCAATTTGGTTGAGAACAAATACTCCAATCACTGGGTTCCAAACAAAAAGCGTGATATGGTTCGCAACAACATTGACAGTAAATCAACTGTAACAAATGAATGCATAAAAGAACGTTGCATACATAACAGAAGAACACATTAAGTAACATATTAATTGAATGTTATATATGTATATATATATATACTGGTTCTTTGCCGGCACTCCCACAAAGGAAACAAATGGCAGGAACATAGAATAATTCCGATCCAATAAGAGCAAAACCTTTAACTCCAACTTCTGCAGGATCGTATTGCTCCCAAAAGTCTATAGACACTGTGTGTGATGTTTCAAGATTGCTTTTTGAAATCTGTAAATTAAAATGCTCAAGTAGTAGCATTAGAGATTTTCTTTCGACAAGTTTCTACAAGTTCAATTTGTGTTTACCATTGAAAGATTAGAGATTGAGATATTTTGTTGTGTTTTTCCCTTTTTCGAATAAGATTGTTGTTGTACCGTAATAATATTTGTATTGTGATTATTTTCATCGTTGTTATCCTTGCAAATTTCTTTTTCTTTCGTATTATTATTATCGTTTTTCTTATCAAGCAGATTAGTTTGTTTTGTAACTGCCTTCAAACTAGGACTATTATTTTCCGATTCTTCTTTATTATCCAAAGAAGGAAAAGTTGCTATTGGTTGTCCAAGAGCAACGCTTGCACTCCGACAAACGTGCTTTACTCTTGGTCCTTTCAATTCAAGTTTCTGTCTAAGCGGTTGTGGACGGTGATTATTTATCTGTGGTGAAGGAAGTATCGGATTTTTTATTTTCTTCCGCACTTTAATTCGATTATGCTTTCTTCTCTTTTTACTTGGCGATGTACTCATAACAGCATCAACTGTAATTAATAAGTAGCTTTTAAGTTAAAGACAAATTGAAATATATATTGACTTGAATAATAATATTGGCTTACATTTTTCAAGTTTTGTATAAAGAAAACCAGCTGTACCCTGATAAGTAGTTTTTTGACCTAATTCAATATTCTTCCAACTCATTGCAGACTTGAATAAATTTTTCTCCAGACTATCTTCCGCCGGCCAGCTTATTTTGCACGGTAAGGATGATTTTTGTCCTTGACAATCGCTTTCATCTTGACCTAATAATGCTGATGTACTTAAAGGATCTCGCATTATAGGCGGTAACATGGAATTCAAACCAGATCTCAATGTAGCAGGTATATTATAACACTTGAGACACATTTTTAACCAACAAGCTGGACATCTAGCTTTATAAACACAACGCATGAGATTCCATTGATGACTTCTAACAACAGGTGGTACAAGACACAATCCATCGCCTTTGTGACATTGGAGAAAAGGAAGAGGACTATTTGTAGATTTAGCACAACCTTGTCGTTTAATCATTTTACTGATAAATTTACGACAAGATTCACAACTGTGAATTCCAAATTTCCGTGCTTGCTTGACAAATCTATAAAAACGTACAGCTCCGCAAACACCACATTTTATAGTTCCCGTCAACCCTGTAGTCGAATAAAGAAATAATACATTTGAAAGTATAGTAAGTAAGTAAGATCTTATTAACAATGTATATTTTGTAGTAATAATCAGTAATATTACCTACCTAGGTTTGTGCTACCATTGGAATTATTATTAGTACTGGTTACAGAAAATGGGCCTTCTGTTCCACCGACACATTTGTTATCCAATTTTAATCTTGCTTTTCTTAAAATAACTTTTCCACCATTCAACTTTATTCCCGACCATTCAGATTGTTCATCTTCCGTATGATTACTGTGATCACTTCCACTTTCAGATAAAGTACTTTCTGTATCAAAGTTATCCTCCGAGTTATTCTCTACTGTCTTCTTGTCATCTTTACTTAAACAACACTCTTTTTCTGTACTATTATTTTCTCTTAATTTAGTATTATCTTGCATATTGTTTTGAATATTCGTATCGTTGAATACTTCACACTGAGTTCCCGATCTTGTTTGAACTCTGGAAGACTCATAATTTGGAACATTAATATCAGGAAGAACTTTAGTAGGAACAGATGTCTGTTTATTATTTTTCGAGATGGTTGACGACTTAGGGCTTTGTACAGTTCCACTTGTATTCTCTGAGCTATCTTGTTTAGCATCCGATTCATTAGACAAGCTATTTGTTAGTTTTACCTTGGCAGATGTATTATTGTTTTTCTTAGCTTCTTTAACAATAGGTTTAGATACTTGCCTTTCTGATTCTTGCCTCGAATCAGAAGATTTTGTTGAAGTTTTATTCGTTTGACTTGTTGTAATTTGAACAATTTTTTTACTCTTACTTTTAATCTCATCAACTTTGAATTTAGTATTTAATAAATCAACACTTTCCTCTTTAGACTTTGATTCTTCATGATTGTTTAATTTGTTAACTGCAAATCTAGCTTTTTTAACATTTACATTAATATCATTTTCATTATGCTCCGTACCAGAAATATCTTCTAATTCTTCTATGAATCGTTTATTAGGTTTTATAACTCTCGACGAATGAGCACTGCGTATGGGTAATATAAATTTTCTTACGGTATTGGACTTGTCACCACCACCTCCACCACCACCACCACCAGCAGCAGCAGCAGCAACAGCAGCAGCAGCAGCAACAGCAGCAGATTGTACTATTGTGTTACGTACATTGCTGCTGTTAGATTTTGCTCTTTGTAATAATCTTTTAGCAGTACTATTACGTAGTTGTCTAGTACGTTGATGTTGATCTAGGATAGCATTAACCGATTTCAATACTGGACTTTTAATAAAATTTGAAAATTTGATATTATTGCAATTTCTTCGAGTTTTAGGTTTATGAATTTTTGTAGTCCTTTTACAATCCGATAAATTCGATATAGTTAAATCTTTCTTAACATTTTCATTTGATTCGGTATTATTAGTATCGCATAATTTTTCTACATTATTTTCCATATCCGTGGAAGAATTGTTGACATTGGTAATATCTTTATTAGTGCTACATTGTAAAACATGATTTTTAACCTTAACGGAAGGATTTTTATTATTTGTAGTTTCTGTACCATGTTGCTGCGTTTTTATGTAAGACACAGAAAGATTAGCCTCTTTAGTGCTAAAACCATGGAATGGCGGATGTTCCTGGAAAAAAAAAACAACAAGAAACAATAATAATGTAAAACGATGAAATATAATGCGATATACATTTAGTACATTCAGTCGTCTAAGAAATCAACAGTCATCGACTGAGCGTATGCAAGTTAAGATAAACAATGCGCTTTGACATTTAATAGTTGAATATACAATGTAGTTTTAGATAGAAATGAAAAGAAAACAGAGATAAATAAATGATAAAAAAGAAGAAGAAGAAGAAGAAGAAGAAGAAAAACAGTAATATAATAAATATAATAAGAAAATAATAGAGAAATGAAATTTGGAGGATTTACTTTGAAGACACAAAACAATTTGTGAACTGTCCGGATGAAGGATCTTTTAATCGAGTCATTGACACTTTCTATGATAGTAATATATCAGTGTACGCGACGAACACTTTAGCACTTCGAGGCCGTATAAACTCCTTTCTAAAACATTAACCTTCATTACACAGTCGAATATTGGAATTTAATCCGAGGATGAGAAATATAAACGCCGTATGCGTTTGATAGGACGCTGACGATGCGAACGCTATGGTAAGTGTCAAATGCGATTAATTCTAAGATCGGTAAGTACAATGAAACGATCGGCTAATATCCTGATTGAGTAAAAACAGTTAATTTACCTTCTCGTTGTCACCAAATGTTTCATTGAACAGGGAAAGTCCGTAGTAGATGTTCTCGGCGACGGTTACCGAATCGTTTTGGACAGTCTCAGGCTGACCGAGAACTTTAATCCGTTTCCTGGTCACCGTTTTCGGCGGCTTCCCTGGAAACTTGGACCTTCCCATGTTCACACTTTTCAACGATCAACCTCAACCCCACAACGAAATTCTGTTTCCATTTTACGTGATTTTGCCCAGCCGAGGTACCTCAACCGAACACCAACGAATATTTAACACACACGAATATTTGCAACCTTCGTCTATCATCGGTTACGTTCGGACAAATTCGTCAATGACCGCGAAATACGCGCGTACTGTTCAACCTAAACTTGCTAATGTTAAGATGAGGTGTCTACCTTCTTCAATGTTTCCTGCCTGCCTGCCTGCCTGCCTTCCTGCCTGAACTGTCATCAAGTCGCGAGTGTATAAATAACCTTAATAACCTGAAAGAATGAACATTTTCTAGGATGTACAATTAATGAATTAATATCAATTAATACGTTGATATTTCATCGTTTTATAAACCTTTATGCGTAAGTATTTTTCATCATTAATTCCAAAGTATTTACCAACAACTTCAAAGAACCCTAGATGGCATTGAAAAAAGACAGATGTATGAAGTTGCATCTTAGGGCGAACTCTCATATAATCTACCTACAGTGCCGCCTGTCGTCAACGCAATGGAACTATCGCACTTTATCTAATTTATTCAAAAAGTTAACAATTTTCAATAAATCCCAATATACAAGAAAATTCATGATTGTTTAATATTCTCTCAACTAAATAATATACATTTTCGATAAAACCGTAGATTAAATATTGTTTAAAACATCGCTTAATAAATATACCTAAATTATCCATTAATAAATTAATCAAAAGAAAAATCACAAATGTATGACGCTTAAGTTTCATATTTTATCACGAATATTTATAAATAATCGATTATTTCGTAAATCTAATAATAAGTTTATAATATTTGTGTGTGTGTGTGTTTTTTTTTTATTTAAAAAAACCTAAAACAATAAATAAAAGTAAAGAAACAAAAATTTGATTACAGTAATAATACGATTGTTTAGTCAATTGAACGATGACGATGAAAAATGTTTATTTGTATCGATCATACAGTTCGAAATAGTTGTTGGCCGGGTTTGGTATCGATCGTATTCGTTGAAATTGGTCAGCTAGGAGGATGTAATGAAGCTACAAGATCTGCCCTTATATATTTTTTCTTTCCTTTTTCTTTTTTTCTTTCTTTGCATTGCATTGCATTGCATTCTCTCCTTGTACCGGTGCATTGACTCGCGTTTCTTAATCGTATAGATCGGAGCGTGCGATCCTAGAAGAATAATAAGACGCATGGGACTTGAACGGTTGCACCGTTCGAAGAGAGAGAGAGGGAAGAAAGAAGGAAAAAAGAAGGAAGAGAAAGATGGAAGACACACCAAGATCACGAACACACATTTACAGATTAATAATATCTTTTATGTATCCATGTTCCGTGCGTACCATCGAAGTGAACGTGTATTGGATTAAGTACGAGAGGAAAAAGAGGTAACTAAAGTTTCATAAAAAAAAAAAACATAGATAAATGATCATTCAATTATATTATATATGTATTTGTTTGGTATCTATTATTTAAAGTAATCATTTTTGTCAATTTTTCATACTACGACATTTTTTTATTTGTTTGTTAAAAAAACGCTCAACAGCTGATGGTAAGATCATATATGCACTTTCTACGTGTGTGTTATATTTTTCATTTAATTATAACTCTATCAAACTCTGGAAAATTATAACAGGGATAATTAGTTAGGAAAATTTATTTTAATAAATAATTTTAATGTAAACAAATAAATCGTATATAAAGTTAATGGAATTTGTATTTTTCATTTGCATTAAATCCACTGTTGTAATTAACGGTATCGATAATAATATTAAAAAACAAACAAACTTGCATTATTCAAATAAACGAAAATATATTTGTTAATGGTGAAAAGTGTGTTAAAATGACTTAGGACCATATTACCGGTCGTGAAAGAGTTTAATATGTCCCTTCATCCGTCTGACTGTGTGAGAATAAAAAAGAAAGAAGGAAAGAAAGCAAGCAAAAAGAAATGGAAAGAGAGAGAGAGAGAGAGAGAGAGAGAGAGAGAGAGAGAGAGAGAGAGGAAAAAGGAAGAGAAGTAAACAGAGAGACGTTTTCGAGGCGTGTGTTGGACCAATAAACGCACTTGTCTGCGGTCATTCGCACTAATTTTTTGCCACAGGATGAATATTATACTCGACACGTACACATATACACACATATGTACATACCACGTGCACTTATCTTTAATGGACGGTCTCGTTGATGATTCCTCTTGTTATTAAAGTACAAGAGCTCGAACGTGGGGTACATATTACTTCCATAATCCTGTAGAAACGTCCTTCATGAAGAGATCATATATGTACATATTATATATATATATATATATATAGAAATACGTGTATACATAGATATGTATACACGTATATTTATGCTCGTAAATACGTATACATTGGATGTATGTGTAATAGTTTAAAAGTCGTGTTTCAAAGAAATCGCTTGTTGCATATTCTCTTTTATCTCGATATCAGCTTTGTACCTTCAACGAGAGAAAGTGGATACCGGGTAATAATGCTCGGGAAAAGTGGGAGTGAAAACGTTGGAAGATTAAAGCACCTCTTTCCTTTTTTTCTCTTTTCTTTTTTCTTTTTTCTTTTTTGATTATTTTTCTATCCCCCCCCCTTCTTTCATTCTCTTTCGTGCTAATTTTGTTGTCTTCTTTTTAATTACTTTATTACGATTAGTACCCTAGCTTGTAATAATATATGCTGGCAGAGAGTTTTCTTTTTTCTTGTTCACAATTCAAGGGCAAATAAGATCAAGCGAAGTAAAATTATTGGAACTTTTTATAGCTACTATAAATACACACACATACACACATATGTATATACACGGGGTGTACACAATATATTACGTATATTATACGTATACACGAATAAAAGAGGATGTTTAGATGCACGTTGTTGTATAAGACAAATCGATTACGCTTATAACATTTCTCCCCCTTCCTCCTCCAGCATCCTTGACATCGTCATCCTTTTTGATTTCGGTTTAGGGTGAGCATTCTTATCGATTCCTTTCGGGTTCCATCCCTCCCTTCTTTCCCTTTCAACGATTGTTCCAGCCCCTTGTTCCCTGTGTCGCACATCGATGCGTGTAACTCGGGAAGGCAAGTCCGTTTCTCTTCACCGTTGGTATGCCAGGCACGATAATTAGGGAGGAAGAGCTAAAAGAAGACGCCATTCGACGAAGTAACGAACCTATACCATCATCATCATCTTCTTCTTCTTCCTCTTCTTCTTCCTCTTCTTCTTTTTTTTCATCATCTTTTGTATTATGTTCATCAAACATTGGATTTTCAAACTTGTACTTCTGTTTTCATTGAATTCTTTTATTTTTCTAATTTTGTTTATTTAATTTTTCTTTCATTTTAACTCCCTGTTCTCTTTCTTTCCATCTTTTTCTTGTTCAAGTATTTGTTCAAGAGAAAGGATAATACAATAGCGATTTTTCTCACGTTACGGTGAACGGAAGGACAATATTTCTCATCATCGCGTTTACATCTAATTGTAAGTCTCCTATCAGAGCTTTACTGATCTCTTCCTCTTTTTCTTTTTCTTTTTCTTCTTTGCAACGAGTAAAAGAAAAAGAATCATCTTCCTCCTTCTCTTCCACCCTACCCCGAAGGAAAAAGGAAACCGTGAGATCGGTACAAAATCTTTCTTTATCTTTCTCATTTTGTCCTTTTTTTTTTCTTCGCGATGAGATCAAAGACGAGAGAACAAAAATTATAAAAAAAAAAAAAAAAGAAAAAAAGAAAAACCACGAAGAGACAGAAGGAAAGAAACAATGGGAAAGACAAAAAATTATCCTCCCTTTTGGATCATCCACGTTTCGTTCGTTCAGTCATTCCATTCATTCATTCATTCATTTAACAATAAGCTTTCGAAAATGAAGAGAGTACGAAATCTCAGGGACTTTCCCTAACCTTTATCGTATCTTTTCTTTTTTCTTCTTCTTCTATTTCCTTCACTAGCACCACCCCATCCTTGCCACGTTCACGCCTGTTTGAACAGTGTTCCCGTATTCTCGGCATTTCTCTCTCAGGATACGAGAACCCGTTATCGGTGGGACGAGGAGTGTGCAAATATCGGCATAATACCAAGAGAGATCTGTGAGAGAGCTGCGATAAGAGTTCAACTTCCGCAGAAAAAAAGGGAATGGCCACGGGGAAAGAGGGAGGAACGGGTATAGCCAGTCTTGGTTTCTAAGACAAAATTGTCTTTATTACTTTCTATCTTTTTCAAACGGATAAGTGTCTTAGGAAACTGGCGGTGAAACGACGATGAGATCGTTTAAAAGAATCTCGCAAATCGGTCGTTAGTTAGAAGAGTGGGGAATGGGCGGATGGGGAGGGAAAGGGGGTGGTGGAACGCCTGGCGTAATAGACGCCATGGTATGGATGGCTGTACGACGTTACCGTTAAGCGTTAGCGCCACTAAACAAAATTCCTGGCTCGACTGAGTCATTTCTTTAAATTGATTATAGGTGACACTCATTTTGTCCAATGTATTTTTTGTTCTTTTCCTCTTATTTAGTCCTCATCCAAAGGCAGCTAGCTAGCTAGCTAGCTAGCTAGGTAGGTAGGTAGGTAGGTAGGTAGGTAGGTAGGTAGGTAGGTAGGTAGGTAGGTAGGTTAACCACCCACCGACCCAACCACCTACTCACCCATTCCTCCTGTCTCCACCCAACGAGGCCGGTCGATCGTATATACGTACTGTATCTTACTACTACTCTAGTTGGTTTTCTCGTGTACGTAATGAGAAAATGAAGAAGAAAGAAAAGAGAGAGTTTCCTAGTTGTATTAGGGGAAAAAAAAAAGAAAAACGCGAATATGACAACGTTAACAGGCCTCGAAAAAACTCGTATATAGTCTTCGTTCACATAATATCTCTTATATATATATCTATTGTGTATACTCTACTGTTATATATACATAGAGAAAGAAAGAGAGAGAGGAGAGAGACTGTGATGAAACTCGTGCCACGGAAAATGTTTCGAGTTTCCTCCTCGAAACGCGAGTGCTTCGAAAGAGAGACTCGTTTCCCTTGCTCTGGTTCTCTTGAGCGAGGACAGTGCGCGCAATGGAAGGTCGGATCCCGCTACCAACATGCGCGTGCACCAAACGAACGAACGAACGAATGACGAACCAACCAACGAACCAACGAGAGAGAGAGAGAGAGAGAGAGAAAGGTAGA